GGATTTTTATCTAATAAAAAATTATCTGAATATTGAAAAATTGTGCATCAGTATAATAAAAGTTTTGAAATGTTGTTTTACACGATCTCTGTTAATTTGGAAATTTTCTAAAATTGTGTATTTTTACCTCATTGAATTTTCTGTTGTCTACTGTTATACAATATGATGATATTTTGATACAAGCTTAATTACTTTGTAAATGATATGATGTGATGATGTATATGCATATGTGATTGAATGAAATCTGCTGGGAGTTATAAGGGGCCAGAATTTTTTGAGATTCTATCTGTGTTAGGGAAAGGAGGCATACGGGGCTAGAATCCTTTGAGATTCTATTTGGGTCCGATAAATGAAATCTGATCTGAATAATTCTATATATATGATATGTTCTGGTGCTGTAAGCATAAATGGAGGCATAAGGGGCCAGAATCCTTTGAAATTCTATCTCTGTCAGGGAAGAAACTGAATAACTCTAAAAATATGATTTGAACGATTCTGTGATATGAATTTTATTTAATTCTTTGGTATATGTTATTTGATTATGTATGATTATCTGTTCTGCACGATTAATTGAACTCAGTATGATTTATCTGATTTCTATACAAATATTTGAATTATGTCTGATTGTCTGATTCTATATGATTATCCGAATTCTGTGTTTATCTGGATTTCTGATGAATATCTGAATTATGCACGGTTATCTGAATTAGTGAATGAATTACTATGTATCTCTATTTTGTGATTTTCAATTCAGTAATTAATTGATTCAAAGTGAACTGTTTTAAATCTTCTGTAAAGTATTTTGAAATGAGAGGATATGGGAATTTAGATCGGCTAGTATGATCTTGTTGAGCTGTTAGCTCAATGTGGTTTTATTCATAGTTTTTTGGATCTGGGAAAGGGAAGGAAGTTGTGGACTAGCCGAACAGAATTTGATATGAATTTATAGGTATTTTTGTTATTTTGATTTTTGTACAGTCATAACTATTTTACTTTTATGTTACGTACTTTCTATCCGAAGCCATATATTGTAATGTATATGATTATTTTGATTAATCGAAAAAAAATATTTTGTGGATGACTTTTTCTGTATTTGAAAGTTTTAGTGGCTCTATAGTTCTGTATTTCAATGCATATTGGAAGAAAGTTTGAAAAGTAATTCTAAAACTAGATTCTGGGGTTCGCCTTCACAACTCAACACGATAGGATCCATCCTAGTCGGGTTGGGTTGTGACAACTGACCTATCAGGTACTTGTTTGTTGGCACCACTCTAAAATTTCTTATTTACTTAGCCTTCTCTTACCATAGTGACCTACTTTTAGAAAATTTTTCTCAATATCCATAAAAATGGAAATATAATGATTATATAATCTTTTCAGTGCAGGCATCAAGTAGCCATTATTAACACATATATGCACGAACGTCTACATATCTCAAACATATGTATCGTGCCTCATGAAATACTATAAACCTGACCCTTAGGAATAATCCACTAAATCCTATCCAACCTCTACTAAATACGTTAGTATTGAATGCATGTTTTATCCAACACATCCTTCGATCAATGTCACATCCCTCCTATCCATAGTGAATTATTTTTGCATGATCGACATTGAGTTTAATATAGCCAATCTCTTAATTCATTCCATAGAAAGTTTGACCTCAATTACCAGAGTTCACTAAAAGAAGAACCTAGCCCTAGGACACATCATAACCTATCTTCTAGAAACTAAGTACAATCTAATCTACCTGTACCACTAGATCACCCTCCCTCTTACTTGACAGTCCACTCATTTCTCCTCATTTATAATGAGAGGCATGGATAAGCATAGGTTGGAAGAGATTAGAAAAGTGGAAGAAGAAAGGGGAGCACCTGGTCAACCCCCTCCACAGGCACATTAGTATTGTAAGATGCATGGACTGATCATTTTTCTTGACTCAATTCAGTCTATGAATAAGTAATGATAAGAAATGTGCAATAAGCATGAAGATTACCCATGTTTCATTAATAATTTTCTCTTATTCATAATTACTTTCAACCATCGCCACCACCATCTAATCACGAACATTTTGACTATTTATTATATTATATTATATTGTGTTGTCTGTGTTATATTTTGTTTGTTTTTCTATTTAGTGTATTTTGTATTTTTGTTTCTTTGCTTTTCTTTATTTTCTCTTCTTTTTTGAGATGTAAAAAAAGGGAGAAATGTTTTGGTTGAGTATAAATTGTACTTGTATTCCTTTATAATGTTGAATGAATTTTTTTAGTACACTTTATGTCATTTTTATATTATATTTTAGAGGAGGTAAAAGTGACGGGGAGTAAATGATATTGATGTAATATTTCAAAGCTCTACTTAATTTTTTTAAATATAATTTTAACAAAAAATGTTATTATCATAAAAAAATGAGAGATTGTTAAACCTCATGAGCATGGTGCACATGCTAAGATTTTGATGATCATAAATATTATTGATTATGCTAATGCAAATTATAGTTATGTGTGTAAGCCATTAATTTTAAACTAATGTTTCATGTAAACGAACTGAAAAAATTTGCAAATATATGGTCATCAAGGTTAAACAGGACTCAAAGAAAGCAAATGTACCAAATTGTATATTTTTTTTGTTTTTGAATATTTCTTTTTTACAGGATTAAATTTGGCTAAACAATCAAGCACACACACACTAGAGAGCAAAAACATTAAGAACAAAATGTGAAAGTTGATTAAGAAATTTGATTTCGAATCAAATTGTTTAGCACGATCAATGTTGTATTATATGATATTACTATAATAATTTTTGAGAATTTAAAAATCAAACAATATTAAGTAAAAAAATTAAAATAAAAATATGAAATAATAAATTATACTATAAGATTCACATCATCTTATAATATCAACTATTTTAAAATTAAAATGGTCAGTTTTTATGTTTTAAAAAAATAGGTACATTTAAAATTTGAATAGTTCAATTGTACGAACTTGATTCGTAATAGACAAAATTTAAACTATTTATTACATATTTTCCTACTTTAGGACATGAAATCAAGGAGTTGAATTAGACTATATTTTGTACTGTCTGATTTATATCATACAAGCCGAATAAATAGAGAGTTTATTTGGATGATTCTTGTTCAGATAATAATTCAATGCTCTGAGCCAAAGACTTGATCTGATCATACTGTAAGTTATATAACATATAGGCCAATCAAACATAGAGGCTTCAAGTTGGTTATACTAATCATACTGTATAATCTCTTGACTATAGTGTTTAATTAGACTGTCAATTTTTATAAACAACATATTTAGAGTTCTTCTAAAACATAAGTATTCATATAAAAAATTAAGAAATTGACATAATTTTTTCAAAGAGTTTTTAAACTTGGCTTGAGTGCTTATGAAAGTTTTTGGAGATAAGCTTTCGAGAGGATTTAAGGAGAGAGACTGTAGAGGTTTTGAGAGATCTTTTAAAGGGACCAAAATATTGAGACAAAGATTCACTAAAGGTTGCTTAGTCCAATCACTTTCTTCTTTCCTTGCTTGTTGCAAAAAATTCTTGTGTGAAGAAGACCAATGAGTCTTGGTGAGAAGACTCAGATTTAGTCAAGCTAGGGGGAAGTTGCCTTTTGAGGATAAAGATGTTGTAGGGTTTCCTCGTCATCTATGAAGGAGAGTGATTTCCTTACTTTGCTGGAGACAAAAGGAGAGTTGTTTCTCCATATTGAAAGAAGCAAAAGGAGAATAGTTAATAGAATTCCTAGGTAGAGGACTCGGGGAGTGGATGTAAGTCAAAAGTGATCAAACTACTATAAATCGATTTGCATCTTTTTTTTAATTTCATGCATTTATTGCATATTTTATTTTCTATTTGTGATAGTTGTTTGCAAGAGAATTTATTCTTTCTTGAAAATTAAAGGTTTTTCAATAGTTCTAATTGTTATGTTAAATTTAGTTTGTTTTAAAATAAAAATTAATTTTTATTGAGTTTTTATTTTTCAAAGCTTCCGTAAAAAGTGTAAAATTTTTAATATACACCAATTCACTCCCTTTTGGGTGTGCCGTATGATTTTAATTACCATTAACTCACTTCCAGCTTATGTTTAATGTTCTATACACAAAGTACGATTATCTACATTCACTATATATATATATATATATATTAATTTCCAAATAAAATAAATGAATTTATCATGTCATCTCCATTAGTGCAACTTAAGAATGATCACTTAGAAGAAAAAATAGGAGTCCTCAAAATTCAGCAAATGATGTAGTCCAGAAGTTTATGTAATGTGATGCTATAAGCCATAATCTAATTACTTATTAAGCTAACTGCCCACTACATTCATAACATTTTTATTGCTTGGATCAATCGTAATTCTTGAACTAATATAACTAAATGGTTGTAGTGAAGCAAAGCTTGTCATTTTAATATTAATTGACTTTCTTTTATAGCCAAATTTACTGTATTTTGACTGTTGTTATCACTCTCTATCACATTAATCTTATAGCTTGATTTGTTCAAGCTATTGGATTACACCATGTTGTACTTATCCTACTCTAATATGATTCAAATCATATTTGGGCATTGTTTGAACATAATTCGAACTATGTAAGAGTTTTTTTGAACTTGGTTCAAATCTTATTTGAACTATGCTCGATCATTATTCAACTCATGTTTAAAATCTATTCAAAGTTATATTCAAATAAGAGTTTGATCAAGACTTGAGTTGTATTTAAAAAAGTTCTAAATTTTTATTGAATATGATTCCAATTTATTAGAACTTGGTTAGATGCTAAATTAAGCTTTTTTTGAATCAATATTGGTCAGGAACAACTTAAATAATTATTTTGTGCTAAAAAATGAGGATATTTTAGTTCATAATGAATAAAAATATATTTCTCTAAGAAATAAAATGCACAAGTTTATTTTTCTAATTATGATAATATGTAAACTTATGAAAATAATCCTGTCTATTAAAATGCGAAAATTTAGAAAATGTTGAGCGTCGCGCCGTCGGCCCGTTGGTCTGCGGTTCGTCGCTGAGAGCTAGCAACTCGCCAGCTCGTTGCTCTCTTCTGATCGAAAAATCGGAAAATAGAGAATGTGGTCCGTTCACAGGCAGGTGATCGTCCTCTTCCTGCTCCTGGCACGAGTGCTTACGCCGGCGGGGAGCTGGCGGGCGACGGCGGTGGGTGTGAACTGGGGGACTTCCTCTTCGCATCCTCTCCCGTCGGCGATGGTTGTCTCTGGTCTCCTCCAGTCGAACAATATCACCAGCGTGAAGCTTTTTGACGCCGATCCCTCCGTTCTTGAGAGCCTCTCCGGCTCTCGAATCAATGTGGTGGTCGGAATTCCAAACAATATGCTCTCGGCTCTCAACTCCTCAAAGAAGGCGGCGGCGAGTTGGGTCCATGATAACATCACACGTTACCTTCCTAATGGCGGAGTCGAAGGCGGAGTTCGAATCGAGTAAGCTTCTCTTGTACCGATTTCTTTTCTGAGCGGTCAGTTATTTCATTTGAATAGAAGGGTTTGGGTTAAGTTTTGTGTATTTTTTTCTGTTTTTTTTTAAACATTTTTTTGGGGACAAAATGCTAATTTGTTTTAGTAGAGTTGGGCTGAAATATTCCTAATTCATGCGTTGTAGATGTGTGAGATAGCCCTAAATGAAAATTTCCTTTTTTATTTCCTTTAGGCTTTCAAATGTGTTTTGGTCTTTCTTTGTTATTTTAATAGTCAATGGGACGTATAGGTTTGGCTACTAGTTTGGTGCTGTATAGAGCTTATCATACTTTATTTGCTTTAAAAAAGTCTTTCTGGGCTCCTTGTCTTTCTTATGTTCTTATTATTTGTGCTGAGACTTTTATTAATGTAAACTGGGCGTCAATATATTGACCTATCTGTTGCAAGATAGAGTCACAATGCTTTCATTATGCGAGGGGATATTTACTTGACTATTTGGCTCATTAAACTTTTCACTTTTACTGCATGGATGGTGAGTTCAGCTTTTGTGGAATTTAATGTATTGGTATATCTGTTGGAATCAGATATATCCCAAAGTTGTTCGGTGGAAATCAGTTGACACTACTCAGGCCCGCTATCTCAAGGAGACGGGAATTGGGTTTCTAGAATGAGATTGGACTTGTTTGGAGAGAAGATATTAGTTAATGAGCCAGCTGGTTTAATAGAGTATCCCTGAGCGATTAGGCCCAAATTATCATTAGTTCTGCCCAACTCACTAAGTTGACTTGATCAATCTAGCCTAAGATAATTATGGGTGTGCATCTATACTCTGATTCCTTGTGTTAGAAAGTCAATGGCAAGACAAATGAATGAAATAAAAATATCACATTTTCGACTGTTGTACACTAAAAAACAGATTAAGGAAACAACAAATCTGGGTCATGCATTCAAGGCATCAATGTTTGAAATTGTGACATTTATGGCCTTTTTTGAAGCAAGGAGTTGAAATCTCAGTGGCTCTCCTTCATTAAAATCTTTTCTTTTTCTTTCTTCAAAAGTTGTTATTGTATGTCGTGCACATCTCCATCTTCTTCAAATGTAAGTCTTTCATGGACTCTCGACCAAGAATATGACTCACAACATATGCAAGTCGAGAAGCCTTCTTTATCTTGGAAACCTTCAGTAGTGGCTAATTATTATGCGATGGATTCTGTGAGCTCTTTTGCTGTTACCTTTCTTCTAGTCACGTCTTTGTAGACATTGATCATTATCTCTCCTACCTCCATAAAGCTGGATACCAAAAAAAAAAAGAAAAAAGAAAAAATCAAGAGTGGAGCTTCTTGAAATGATTAATGTTATTTGCTCTTAGTCTATAGTTAGAAATCCTATGACCATGCTTTCTCTTTTGATTTTGTTCCCATTTTTCTTTATGTCTAGTCTCTATGGGAAATTCATTGCCAATAATTGCAAATTCTACATTTGTGAACTCAGAAGTAACAATGATATCATCATTTCTGCCTAACTTGTAGTTAGTTAGTCTTGTACACTTAATTTTATATATTTCCTCTTTTTTTGCTTCTCATCCTCCTTATGCTTACTCAAGTATGGCTGGACTCATTGAATTACGTATTGTAGAGTCAGTTTTTCCACTAATAATGATGATGACCAAGTAGTTGTGGTGACTAATAACTAGACCCAAGAAAATATTTCATCTCAAGTCATCCTCATTGTTCCCTCAAAAGGTGCTAAGTTGGACAACAAAAATGTGTGTATGGATTTTTGTTACGATGAAAAACTTGAAGACCTTTGATGGAAGCTTGTTGTAGGATCTTTTGATGGCACCTTGAAGTTTAGTGAAAGCTTGTGGAGAATTTGGTGAAGGTTTTAAAATCTTTAGACAACTTAAGGGTTGGTTTTATATGGATTTAAGGGTATGCTTAGGCTAGATATGGTTTGCGGTGGATATGTTCAAATTGGTAAGAGGTGTGGTAAGGTTTATAAGAATTGTAGTGAAGGTGGGAGAGTAGTGGAAGGCTTGAGAGGTAGTTCTTTAGAGTTTGGGGGAGGTAGACCGGATAAGGATTTTTTTTTTTTTGCTTTATGATGTGGACTTGGGCTAGGTATGGGGAAGGATGTTGGATGCTTGTGGAGGTTAGGGGTGATGTTGAGGAATGTTTTAGGGTTGAGTAGATGTGTTGGTGAAAATTTGAGGTTAGGATTTGGTGTGTTACCAAGAGCTAGGGAAAAGGCTTGGGGGATTTAAGACCAAAGGGAGAGGTGTTGGTGAAATTTCAGCTTTGCAATTTGTGTTGATGATGATCATGCTCATTCATCTTGATACCATGATTGGCATTGAGATCTAGTCATAGACCAATGACCATGTGATTTTATTGCATCAACTTTATTGAACTGCAAAGAATTTTGCTTTGTAGAGTTAAGTCCTCATAATCTTCTACCAAGTTTGGAGTAACTTTTTCTAGATATGCTTTGATCATCCAAGTGTCCTTAGAGGGAAGTTGGTTCTTCCATCTAACAAAGAACATGCAACGGGTAACTATTGGTATTTTAATCTTATATGAAATGATCCCCTCAATCTTTATAAAGTTTGGGGTGTGGTAAATTTTGATTTATCTTTTATGTAGGTGTGTTAGCTTTCAAATCCCGAGTCTTTATGATTCCTTCATAAGTAATATAACATCAATATTAAAAATATGACAACAACAACAACAACATCAAGCCTTTATCCCATTATATGAGGTCGGCTACATGAATCCTTTTTCTTTATAGTTTCTTCTTAATAGTCAAATTCTCATTTATATCTAATAAAAATATCATTTTTAATATTTTCTAATCAAATCTTTTTAGGTATACCTCTACCTTTCTTAACATAGGCAAAATCTAATACATCTACTTTCCTAACCGTATTATCGGGAGGCCGCCGTTTTATGTAACCAAACCATCTAGGTGACTCTCTCTAATCTTATCAGCCATTAGAGCTACTCCACTCCAACCTTTTCACGTATATGCCCATTTCATATCCTGTCTCTAAGAGTAAAGTCACTCATCCCCCTGAGCATCCTCATCTCTGCAACACTTAATTTAATATTATGCTTCTCTTTTAATGTCCAACATTTTTGTGCCATAAAACATTACATGTCTAACCACCATCTTATAGAAGTTTTCCTTAAGTTTCAGTGGTAATTTTCTATCACACAACAAGCCCGATGCATTCCTCCATTTCAACCATTCAACTTGAATTCTACAAAAAATATCATCATTTCTTTTACCATCACTCTAAATAATAGACCCAATATATCTATAATATGTACTTTTATTAATAACTTGATTGCACAAAGTCAGAAAACCCATTAGATTTATTGCTACTACAATTACACTCCATGTATTAGGTTTAAGATCTACTCAAAAAAAAAAAACCTTTAGACTCTAAGGTTGACCTCTATAATTCAAGTTTATCTTCTGCTCCCTCTTTAGTCTTATCAACAAGAAGAATATCGTCAGCAAAAGCATACACTAGGGAACATCATCATCTTGCAAATGTTTTGTAAGAACATCCATTACGAAAGCAAAAAGATGTGGGCTTAAGGCTGATCCTTGATGTAATCCAACTAAAATTAAAAAATACTTGGTCAAACCATTGTTTAAAATAGTGCAATATATGGCTCGCCTTGAGGCCCGCCTCAACGCAATTCTAGTGAAAAACATCTCGAGGCTTACGCCTCTAGCTTTTTTATGAGGCTTGCGCCTTAACTTGGTTGAGGCCCACCTTAAGACACGCCTCGCCTTGCCAGCGTGAGGCTTACGCCTCACCTTGCCAGCGTGAGGCTTACGCCTCACCCTATTTATATACTTTTTTTTTGTTAAAACTGACATAAATCACGCCTTCATGCACATTCGAGCGCAACAACTTCCTCTTGATTGCCTCTACTCTATCCCGAGTCCTTCGTTGGAGCCAACACTGTCATAGTCGTCACCGACAATCACTTGAAAGTTGCACATAACCACCCTAAAAATTTTGGAGTATTAATCTCATATTTATGTTGATGAAAATATATCTAAAAGATGAATATGATTGAAATAAATTAAAAAGAAGCATATTTGGAGGCATTCGACTCTACTGAATGAGATAGAGGATAGGCCAATTTGTTATGTAACAACTCAGATAAAGACCACCTCTGTGATGACAGTGCAGATAATTCCTAAGTTGTTGCCAACTATTTCAAGAATTAAATGTAAATGAGTAGATAATTGATCAAAAAGAAAATTTGGAGTTAGAACTTGATGTTATATGACACTTGTTGCGGGCTAGAAAATACGCGGCGATAGAGGTTTAATTCTGCGTCTTAGCGTTGAACGGATAACTAGCTCACACACAGAGAACACAAGATTTTTAAAGTGGAAAACCCTTGAAAAGGGAAAAAACCACGGGGCCTAGCCCAATTGAAAATGATTCCACTAGAACTTTGAATCGGTTACAAATGGTTGAATCACCTTCAGGGGTGTTCAGATTACAACTGGTTACTATCAAAAAGGAGTCGGGTGTTAGACCCAGTATCACTTGGAAGATCGGATGTCGATAGTCCGGACGTGAGCTGAGCGTGGGGTCTGAATGTCGGGCCTTGAGTGACGTCGGGTCTTCGGCAGGACGTCGGGTCTTTGGCAGAACGTCGGGCCTTAAGCAGGACGTCGGGCCTTTGGCGGAACGTCGGGCCTTAAGCAGGACGTCGGGTCTCCAGCAGGGCGTCGGGTCTTCAGCAGGACGTCGGGTCTTCAGCAGGACGTCGGGCCTTAAGCGGGACGTCGGGTCTTCAGCAGGACGTCGGGCCTTCAGCTGGACGTCGGGGCCTTCAAGTAGGCGACAAAGGCCTGAAGAACTGTAGGCGGTAGGAGATAAGGAGTCAGGTGTTAGTCCCAGTGTCACTTGGAAGATCGGATGTTGATGGTCTGGCCTTGAGTAGGACGTCGGGTCTTAAGCAGGACGTCGGGTC